TGCATTTCCAATAGTTTCTAAGTTTTTATCAAGGCTTCTGCTTAAATAAATAAAACTTGTCTCTGGTTTTAATTTGGACAAAAACTGAGTCAAAGGTGTTTAGGGTTTAACATAATTCATTTTCACATTTGACCCACCATAATGTTTTAGATTTTTATGTAGTTAAATATATCATTGTTTTCTTTATGCTTTCTTCTTTAAGTCTTTTACTAAAAGGAAAATTAAATTAAAATTTAATTAAAAATGAAATTAAAAATTTTAAAAGGAAAAATGAAATAGATATAATTTAAACTGGTCTGAATCATATATATATATTTGTTCTTATATTCTTTTTCTTTAGTTCTGCCTGGGAATTTGAAGGTCCAACTATCATCTATTGTCCTTCCAGGAAAATGACAGAACAAGTTACAGTTGAACTTGGGAAATTGAACTTAGCCTGTGGAACATACCATGCAGGCATGAATAATAGTTCAAGGAAAGAGGTTCATCATAAGTTCATGAGAGATGAAATTCAGGTGAAGATTGATCATCATTACTCTCTATCCTCCATAGTGGTAACATATTCCTCTATTTACCAAATCTTTATTGAATGCCTTCTTTACATTGAGCATAAAACAGCTCTAATAAAGGGAATCAGAGTTTAATGTGGGAAGTAGCTATGTGAACAAACTGTTACAGACTAGTATGGCTAGCAGCCTGTATATAGTGCCTAGGCGCACAGAGGTGGGAACGCTATCTGTTTATGTGGGTTAAGTAATGGGGATGGTCCACCCAGGAAAAAGCAATTTGAGTAGAGTCTGAACAAATGAATAGAAGTTTGTCAAGTGTGCAAGGCCAGTAAGTGAAGAAGGAAAAGGAAAATTGTTTATAGAATTCCAGGAAGGAGGACTAGCATGTGCAAAGCCCTGTGAAATGAGGGTGCAGGAAATTGTATATAGTCCAGAATGCTTGGAGAGAAAGAGAGTGTGGAGTAGGAATGACTTAGAGTAAAGGTACAAAGGAAGGAGGAACTGTTAGAGACCCAGAGCTGTTAAAGACTGAGGAAAGTTGAGTGGGTTGGTTGGCCAGGGCCTTAAAACTTACAAAGAGGCAGGCTGGGATTGGTGTGAAGTGCCTCTCCATTGTCCAGACTACTTTAGCCTTGTAATTTTTTACTTAAATGAAATTTTATATAATAGGTAAGGCAGGTTAAAGTAGAATAATTCTTATTAAAGTTGATGTGAGAGAGAAAGGGGTACAAGAGTCTCCTTATCTTTAAGACAGTCCTTGTGGGCATCTTATAATCCCCAGAGCTCCGCAGAATGAAGTTTGAGAACCGTCTATTCTGTGTTTCTGGGCAAGATAATATATATTATAGAAACATGAGACTGGTAACACTAAGTAGGTTTGATTTGAAGGAGAAAAACTGAAGAGAGGAAGGGTATCCATGAAGTTACTGTGAAGAGTTACAGTGGTTGAAGTTATGTCATAATTTCAAACTGTAGTGATTGGAATCCTGGTTCCCTGGGTGCCATACAGAATATTTGAAAAGATTTAAATTCAAGCCACGTTAGTAGGTTTTAAGTCAACAACTTCATCCCGTCAACATCATATCCAATCACTGTAAGCCTGTGGGCCAGTCCCCCTCAGTATTGCTTTGGGGTGGTTCTTAACCACCCCAAAGCAATACTGTTCAAACAACTTACCTCATGTCTGGTGTGTGTGCTCTCCCTATAAAATTCTCTATGAATTGTCTTGTTGTAGTGCACATCTGCCTGAAAGTATCTATTCTCTTTCTTCCTCTTCTTTTTAGAGATATGAACAGCTATCACAGCTGCCTGGAATAGAGATTTTATCCATATTCTTAAATGCTTATACTTTTATTTTATTATCTCAGGAGCTTGAAAATTGTCAGATAAAATGTATTAACTGGCCCTGGCTGGTTTGGCTAAGTGAGTAGAGCATCGGCTTGTGTACTGAAGTGTCCTGGGTTTGATTCTGGTCAAAGGTACATGCCCTGATTGCAGGCTCAGTCCCCAGTGGGGGGCTGTGCAGGAGGCAGCCGATCAGTGATTCTCTCTTATCGTTGGTGTTTCTCTCTCTCTCTCTCTCTCTCTCTCTCTCTCTCTCTCTCTCTCTCTCTCTCTCCCTCTCTCTTCCTCACTGAAATAAGTAAAAATATATTTTAAAAATATATTAGCTGCTGCTTACTGAATCTTTACAATCGGTGTTTGAGCCATGAACTGACCATGATTTCATCTATTATGGTATATTGCTCATTGTTCATTTAGGTAAAAACATCTCCTAAGAGACACGAGAGAGGACAAACTTTATCTACATATAATTTGTTGTGTTGGGAGACTTGTTGGATGCTTCTGGGCTTCCTGCCAAGATGCAGCTTCATTGAAACATTGCTCTTAATATGGCTTTAAAGCCTCACAGCAATCACCCATCAAACCTAATACCGGAAGGGTATATGCATGTATGTGCTATTATATTTTCCCTTTTTATGGCAGGATGTCACAAGTTTTTATCCACATTATGAAAATTAATACATTAATGTTGATTGTGTCACCCTAGGCCAGTGGTCAGCAAACTGCGGCCCCTTGAGTGTGGCTCTTCCACAAAATACCACGTGCGGGCACGCACGTACAGTGCGATTGAAACTTCGTGGCCACACTCAAGGGGCCAAAGAGACGCATGTGGCTCGCAAGCCGCAGTTTGCTGACCACTGCCCTAGGCTGACATTAGGGTTTCTCTTGTGTCTGACAACTGGGCATTGTACTCCTTCTTTGCCATTATAAAGAATTCTAAAGTTGCACATACGAAGTGAGAGTTCTCACACACCTTCTAAAGAGATGAACATACATTTCCTCATCTATATAAAATAGTTTGGTGCTTTTGGTATTGACTACTTGCCATTGAGTATTTATTGAGTGCCTATTGAATGCATACATATACAGAATTCTCAATATTCACACTCCGGTCTTTTTATAGTTGATTTATACTTTAGTATGAGCATAAAAGTAGAGCTCATCTTCCCGGCTCACTTCCCTAGCTCTTAATGTCTTGGACTGGGTGATCCTTAGAATCTTAGTATTTTCTATTTTATAATTGTAGAAAACTTTTTTTCTTTCTGATTATTCATAACCAAATCTAACCACCTTTGGGTGTAGATTTGCATTTTTAGTCTATGATCATTCATTTTTACTTTTAATCCTAACTTTTAGTTTTATGTTCTTTTGTATTTTATTTGAGCTTTCAAGATGGCTTGAATTTCTTATCTTTCTGAAATGAGGTTGTGAATTAATTATTTGAATATGTTTTATTGATTTTTTACTGAGAGGAAGGGAGAGGGATAGAGAGTTAGAAACATCGATAAGAGAGAAACCTCTATCAGCTGCCTCCTGCATGCCCCCTACTGGGGATGTGCCTGCAACCAAGGTACATGTCCTTGACCAGAATTGAATCTGGGACCCTTCAGTAACCAGGCCGACGCTCTATCCACTGAGCCAAACCGGTTAGGGCTGAATTAATTATTTGGTAAAATATCTTGTATTTACACCTGAGAGAATAGGTTGGTCTCATCTAAGATTAGTATCATATGATGAAAATTAAATCTTAAAAGTTCTCTACACACACACACACACACACACACACACGCACACAAATGAAGTATATGAGATGATGAATGTGTTAAGTAATCTTATTATAATCATTTAACAATAGGTATGTATATCAAACCATCACATTATATATCTTAAATTTACACAATGTTATATGTCAATTATCTCTCAATAAAGCTGGAAAAATTGAATAAGACATAACATTTAAAAAATAAAATTAGAATGATGTTGCTTATTTACTCTTAAATACAGCAAAATTGCCTACTCTTAATCACTCAAAGCTTTTTCTTAACATATTTCCATACCTATATTTATTTTTCTCTCACCTTTGTTGTACAGCATTTTCTTTTTATTTGCTAATGTTGGTCAATATTAACACATTTTTGAAGGCATTTTAATTTTTATCAGTTATGCATGTACATTAAGAACTAAATAACTCTACACATCTACAATGAAAAGCATCAGCCCCTCATTCCTCCTATTTATATCTAACCTCATTTCCTATCAATATTAGCATAAAAATTTTGATTAGCCAATATATATTCAAATATGTATACATAATTATTTATCTGTAAATGGTTTTTATTGCTAAGCCATGCAGTACATTATAGTTACTTTTCTTGCGCAATTTCATGTATTGTTATTAATACTTTTTAAAATCTTTATTTAGTTTTTTGTGTTCTTGTCATTAATTCTTCCCTTAAATTTCTCAAATTATGTAAATCTTCATACTACAGTATATTAGCTGTTCTACCAGTTTTATCCTTTTAAAGATGCAGAGATAAATTCATGTTTTATTTTACCATTTTTAATGAGTCACTTCCTTTCATCTTAGAACAGTGTTAGAAAATATTACAATACTATGCAATCAGGTAAGGACTTTTGAAACTTCATAACACAAAAGTCTCATTTAATATAATAATTATTTTAAGATCCTCTTTTGTGACTTGTACTTATCGCTAAAGAGAAAAACCACTTTTAATTTTTATAGAGAGGAAATAAGTTCTAATTTATGATCACTGATCCTTAATCTGTAAATTGGGTGGGTAATCGTTTAATCTATAAGTGATTGGTTAAAATCATATTAAGTTCAGTTTTATGCCAAGGACTTTAGCTAATGAACTAATTATTCTTATTAAAAGGTAAAAATGTAAGATTTTAGTTCTGCTAAATGTTTGTCAAACTATGTTGTTATTTATTCTCAGTGTGTTGTAGCTACCATAGCTTTTGGAATGGGCATTAATAAAGCGGACGTTCGCAAAGTCATCCATTATGGTGCGCCTAAGGAAATGGAATCTTATTACCAGGAGATAGGTAGAGCTGGCCGGGATGGACTTCAAAGTTCTTGTCACCTACTCTGGGCTCCAGCAGACATTTGCTTAAATAGGTAAAAACATGTATTGCTTTCACACTTGCAGATTTTTTTTCTTTCTTTCCATATAAGTTTTGAAAGCATTTGAGGCAGCATCAAAAATTTCAAGTAATGTGCTTTAAGTACATTTAAAAAGAAACAGAGGACATCTAAGAACATTTGTGGTAAGTGCTGCCACCCAGAGGAGAGGACCTATTTTAGCCAGACCTTATTTAGTATGAAGAATTAACTAAATCAGGATTCTATAGGGAATGTAACACAGATCCCATGTAATGATTTCCTAATATTGTGCACCGGTGAGCTGTTTATTTTTCCTTGGGTGCTCTCAAGTTTTTTTTTTTAAATTTTGTTTTATTGCTTATAGTATTACAAAGAGTATTACATATGTCTCCTTTTTTTTCTCCCCTTGACCTTCCCCCGGCCTCCCCTACCCCCCAGTGTCTTGTGTCCATTGGTTATGCTTATATGCATGCATACAAGTCCTTCGGTTGATCTCTTATCCCTCCCACTCAACCCTCCCCAGACTTCCCACTGTAGTTTGACAGTCTGTTCAATGTTGCTCTGCCTCTGTATCTATTTCGTTCATCAGTTTAGAATGGTCTTAATTATCCATAAATGAGTGAGATCATGTGGTAGTTTTCTTTCATTGACTGGCTTATTTCACTTAGCATAATGCTCTCCAGTTCCATCCATGCTGTTGCAAATGGTAAGAATTCTTTCTTTTTTACAGCAGCATAGTATTCCACTGTGTAGATGTACCACAGTTTTCTAATCCATTCATCTGATGATGGGCACTTAGGCTGTTTCCAGATCTTAGCTATGGTAAATTGTGCTGCTATGAACATAGGGGTGCATTTATCCTTTCTGATTGGTGTTTCTGTTTTCTTGGGATATGTTCCTAGAAAGCCATTAATTTCATTACTGGTTTTTTCATCCCATGGAGCTCATTCCAAATGACTTCTGATCATCCCTATTTGGATATCTTTACTATTTGTTTCCTTTGTTAGTTCTGTGAGAGCATGCCAGCTGCCCTTGACAGCGTGTGATAATCATGTTGTTCTTTACTGATTGACTGTCATGAAAAGAATTTAAGTGTTTAGTGTTTAAATGCAGGAAAACCATTCTATGTAAATACTAAACAGCTATTTTGTTGCCATTTAAGTTCTATGAAATTTATATTGGAAAGGAAAACTTCACCTTGCAAAATTTTTCAGTGCACGGTTTAGCAACTGATTCTCTCATCCATAGGGGAGAAAATTTCAGGAAAAAAAACTTCTATGTGGTAACTGATGGGCCTGCCAAGATGAAGAATTTTCAAAATGCACCTCCATGTAGCTGGATAAATTGAGCTCTTGAATGGACATATTATCCCATTTTATTAAAATTATGAGAATGCCTATCCAATACAGTTTTAATTTATTCATCATTTAACAGTGCCCCCCTTTTTTAGTGCCCACTGTGTTCCAAGCATTAAGCTTCCTGATGGGGATACAGTGATAAATAAAAGCAGATATGGTATCTGTTTTCATAGAGTTTACAGTGTAATGGGAATGGCGGATCCTAATCACAGAATCATACAACTATAGATACATAGGGTTCATTTTACTACTCTCTTTTTCTGTTTGAAAATTTCACTCATCAGAAGATTTTTTTTAAAGGATCAGGCAAATATGTGTAAAATTACAATTATGTTAAGTGCTATGAAGGAAAGTTGCATCGAGTAGTGAGTATATAATGGGGTGTGTGTTTACGGTTGAAAGGTCAGGAAAGTCCTCCTTCAGGAAGTGATAGGGTAAATTGAGACCTGAAAGAAGAATTAAGGATTAATTAGGTGTAAAAATGTTTGCTATAAACGTTAAGCTCTTTCTTTTACTAGTTAAGAGCAGTCAGTAGCTTTTGTTGCTTAACATATAATCAATAAAACCATCCTCTTAAACAGGACAATTACTATTTTCCTTTTGACACTGGTGTCCACAACTGGGATAGAATACAACTCTGCATGCTACTAGTAAGTTTGGGATTGTGTCAAGCGTAAGTTGATTCCTGTTAGTTCTTATTTTATTAGGGCATTATGCTGAAGGTACTGAAGACAGCCTGAATTCTATTTTGTAGCTTTGCAGATTTACCAATAGTGATATCTCCTATTTTTCTGGGTTTCAAAAGATACTTTAAATGTTTTTTTTTTCCATTGAGATTTAACAGATTAGTAATCAGATAGTGGTCTTTAGGGTAGATGGTTGCTTTTTGCGTCCACCCAAAGGGAAATAAAACTAGGGTTAATCAGACAAAGCAAAAAGTTTTCTAATAAATGAAGTTGCTGGTTCTCAACTGAAAAAGTCACTGTAATTCACAAAATGTTTAGGATCCTGTGAGAGAAGAAACTTGTCCAGCCATCATTGTAAATGTGTAATTTTATATTTCTTATTGCAGAAGCCATACCATTGGCAAAGTCTCAGTGTCTGCTTTTGCCATTATTTTAAACAGTCAAACCCAATAGTTACTATGTATTGTAACTTTTAAGGAAATAATTTGCAAATTAATCTCAATTCTTCCATTGGCTCTAACTGATTCCTATTTATGGTATTGTTTTGTAGAAATTTTATTTTTTTCAATAGGATTTTGTATTTTAAATATTGTAATAGTCCCAAAAGAAAAGAATTTATTTGATTTGATGTTAGAGACTTGTAATTTTATTTTCTAAAATTTGTTATTGACACTGAGAAGATTAAATGTAGATCATCTGAACCAAATATAAGAGTGAATCTAGTTCTTAGAGTGTAGGCATTTTTCTTTGCTCTTTCTGAGAAGGAGGTAAGCTAAGTAAACTAAAGCAAAAAGAACTGATTTTTAGCCCATGATCTAGGGAGAATGAGATTAGATGCTAATCTAGGAATGAAAGTCAACAGTTGGAAGAGACTTTTAGGAAGTTACAGGCATACCTTGTTTTATTGCACTTGGCTTCATTGCGCTTCACAGAGGTTGCTTCTTTTACAAAATTGAAAGCAAGACCCTCCCCAGCAAAAATATTATGACATGCTTATTGTGATACTTGCTCTATTGTGGTGGGCTGGAACTGACCCTGCAATATCTCCAACATATGTCTGTATATGGAAGGGTGGTTAGTGGTGTCAAATGATAAGAATGTTTTGAATAAGACATCATTTGTGTGTTCAGACTTTGCAGAAATCAGTTAACTGGATTCCCTGCTGGTGTCATCCTTGAGAGTTGTACAGAGGTATTATTATCAGTCAGAAGTTGGCATAGTCAAAATATGAGTGAGTGAGGTCTGTTTAGATGACGATCAGTATTATCACCCAGATCTTATAGGTAAATCATTGTTTTCCTTTGAAATATCCAAAACTTACTCAACTCAAACTTCTCTTTATTCTTGGAAAGAATTCTTGGAAAGATGTGCAGTATGTTTAGGAGATTGTCATGTGATATCTGCTATTCGTAGAATTTCTTCACAAAAGACTGGAAGAAACAGTCAGGATGAGTTACAGCAGCATTAACTTAAAAACAAACAAACATGTCTTTGGCGTTATTAACCATTTAAAATAAATTGAATTTTATAGAAAACACATCAGTTTTAGTTGTTTGAGGAAGGAACTTAATTCCGATACTTTACTGGTGTCCCATAATAACGCCCTATAATACAAAGAGAAATCCTCTGAAGAGTTAAAAGGGACCTAATTTCATGTTTGGATCAGGAACCTCTTAGTATTCCTTACATAGCTGCTTTAGTTTCTCCTGTAACATAAGTGAAAAAAAATAACTTTTAACTGGCAAAGGTGAAAATTTATATATAGTAGATGGATTACCCAAAAGCATGTAGCATATAAATCAAAATGAAAAACTTTAGGGTTTATAAAAAATTTTCAAAGATAGCTAAAAATTGATGCTTGGACACAGGTAGAATTCTTTCAAAAGTAATTTTCATAAAAAAATCAGAAAAATGCTTGCTTCTTGTGAGGGGCATTGACTGGCAAGGGGCACATAACTCTGGAATGATAGAAGTGGCCTTTGTCTTAATAGAGGTGTGGAGTGATAAAATAATAACGAGATAACTAAAAAGTAACAAAATCACTAATGCAATTTTACATATTCCTGTGATATTTTTAATTGACAGGCACCGCCTTAATGAGATACATAATGAAAAGTTTCGATTATACAAATTAAAGATGATGGCCAAGATGGAAAAATATCTCCATTCCAGCAGATGTAGGCGACAGTATGTATTATTTATTTATATCAATTAATCACATAGATTTATGGGTGGTGCTCTTTTAAGAAAAAATTTTGCAAAATAATTAGAAGTATTTAGAAAGAATATTTTGTTGGTATTGAATATGTGCTGAATTTTTAAGGCAACTTTCTTTTTGCCTCAGTAAACTGAAGCCAAATAATGAGGTCCCAGGTGAATCAATTAATTCACCTCATTATTTTCAGCAATGAATTTAACATATATGTTTTTGTTCTTTTATTTAATTTTAAATCTTCTCTTGGGTAGACTCATCTTGTCTCATTTTGAAGATAAACAGCTACGAAAGGCCTCATTGGGTATTATGGGAACTGAAAAATGCTGTGATAATTGCAAATTCAGGTAAATATTTCTTCTTCTAGATGAACATTCTAAAAGTCTGTTTCTTTTGCTTTGCAAATAATTTTTAATTGAATTTTGATGAATGATATGTATTATAGTTATTTATATATCATTATTTATATATCATTATTTTTAAATGTATTTTTATTTCAGAGAGAGGGAAGGAGAGGGAGAGAGAGATAGAAACATCAATGAGATAGAAACATCAATTGGCTACCTCCTGCACCACCCCTTACTGGGGGTTGATCCTGAAACCCCGGGCATGTGCCCTGAGCAGGATTTGAACTGGTGACTTCTTGGTGCATGGGTTGACGTTCAACCACAAGCTACACCAGCCGGGCATGTATTATAGTTTTTTAAAACAAAATAAAAAAAGATATTTAAATAAATGACAAAGCAAACAATAGTAGAGTATTTTGCTTTATAAATAGACAAACCAATAAAGTGGAAGACCTAAATCTAAACATAGCAACAGTTACATTAAATGTTAATGGTCTAAAACACCATTTAAAGGCTGACATTTTTAGAATTGGTTTAAAAATATGACCAAACTAAGAACATCATCAGAGGTAAATAAGGACATTACATGATGATAAACGGGTCAGTCTACCAATGTATCAGTCAGGGTTCTTCAGAGAAACACACACACACAAACACACACACACACACACACACACACACACAGAGAACTTAAGGAATTGGCGTATGGAGTTGTGGGGGTTGGCAAGCTGGCAGGCTGGAAAGTTGGGCAGGATTTCTATGTTAACAGTCTTGAATCACAATTCCTTGTTTTTCAGCAAAACTCAATTTTTGCCCATATCTTCATCTGATTGGATGAGACCCCTTCACATTACCAAAGGGAATCTCCTTTATTCAAAGCAACTGATTGTAAATATTAATCACATCTAAAGATACTTTTATAGCAACATCTACATTAGCGTTTGACCAAACAATCAGGTACCAGAGCCTACCCAAGTTGACACATAAAGTTAACCATCAATTCAAGAATACGTAATCCCCATATGTGTATATATTTAACAAAACTGACAGAATTGAAAGGAGAAATAAAGAAATCCAAAATTACAGGTGACTTAAACCTCTTCTCTTGGTAATTAATAGAACTACTAGACAAAATCAGTAAGAAGATAGGAGAAATGAACAGGACTGTCAACAGACTGGATCTAATTAACTTCTATAGAACCCTCCACCCGACAGTAGCAGATACACTTTCTTTTTAGGTGCCAATGGAACATTCACAAACACAGGCCATATTCTGGGTCAAAAAACAAACCATGACAAATTTAGATTATAAAATATATGGCATGTAGTTAAAGCAATCCTGAGAAGGAAATTTAGAGCATTAAGTACTTAGAATAAAAGTTTCCAATCAGTAATTAAGCTTCCATCTTAAGAAGCAGATAAGAGCAAAGTAAGCTAAAAGGAAGCAAAAGGAAGGAAATAAGAAAGATAAGAGCGCAAGGCAATGAAATAGAAAACAGGAAAACAATTGAGAAAACCAATGAACTCCAAAGCTCATTCTCTGAAAAGGTCAATACAATTGATAAACACTTATAACAAAAAAAACAGGAGACACAGACTACCAATATCAGGAATGAAAGGAATTTCATTGCAGACCCAACAGACATAAAGAAAATAAGGAAACACTATGAGTAACTCTGTGCACGAGATGAAATGGAGTAATTCCTGATAACCTCAAGCTAATGAAACCCACAGTGAAATAGGTAACCTGAATAATCATGCAACTGTTAAAGAAATTGGATCCTTGTTTAAAAAGACCTCTGAAAATAAATTCCCTAGTCCAAATGGTTTGAACAGCAAATTATACCAACATTTACAAGAAGAAATAATGCCATTTCTACAGTATGATTCCATTCATATGATATTCTCCCAAACAAGACTATACTATCGGGATGAAAAAAAGATCAGTGGTTGTCAGAGGTTTTAGAAAGGGGAAGGTCTGATTACAAAGAATGGCACAAGGGAGTATTTTACAGTGATGAATTTGTTGTGTGTCCTGATTATGGTGGTAACAGTTGTGGGGGTGGTTAGATGAGTCTATGCATTTGACTCCATGGATGTGTTAAATTTGTAAAACTTTACACACATCTAGACATACCATCAATTTCACTGAATATTAATTGAAAAATATAGTAAAAACAAATGATATACCTAGTGGAACTAACTGTATACCTAGGTGTGGTAACTATATTGCTGTTAGACAAAATAAGTATTCTTTTTGTTTTTGATTAGTTAAATCTTTATTGTTCAGATTATTACATTTGTTCCTCTTTTTCCCCCCATAACTCCCCTCTACCCAGTTCCCACCCCACCCTCCTCCCTCACTCCCCACCTACTGTCCTCATCCATAGGTGCACGATATTTGTCCAGTCTCTTCCCACATCCCCCTCACCCCTTTCCCCCCCAAGAATAGTCAGTCCATTCCCTTTCTATGCCCCTGATTCTATTATAATCACCAGTTCATTCTGTTAATCAGATTATTCACTTGATTTTCAGATTCACTTGTTTATAGATGTGTATTTGTTGTTCATAGTTTGTATCTTTACCTTTTTCTTCTTCTTCCTCTTCTTAAAGGATACGTTTCAGCATTTCATATAATACTGGTTTGGTGGTGATGAACCCCCTTAGGTTTTCCTTATCTGTGAAGCTCTTTATCTGACCTTCAATTCTGAATGATAGCTTTGCTGGATAAAGTAATCTTGGTTGTAGGTTCTTGGCATTCATCACTTTGAATATTTCTTGCCACTCCCTTCTGGCCTGCAAAGTTTCTGTTGAGAAATCCGCTGACAGTCTTATGGTACTCCCTTGTAGGTAACTGACTTTCTTTCTCTTGCTACTTTTAAGATTTTCTCTTTGTCTTTTGCTCTTGGCATTTTAATTATGATGTGTCTTGGTGTGGTCCTCTTTGGATTCCTTTTGTTTGGGGTTCTCTGCGCTTCCTGAAGTTGTAAGTCTATTTCTTTCACCAGGTAGGGGAAGTTTTCTGTCATTATTTCTTCAAATAGGTTTTCAATATCTTGCTCTCTCTCTTCTTCTGGCACCCCTATAATTCAGATGTTGGTACGCTTGAAGTTGTCCCAGAGGCTCCTTACACTATCTTCGTATTTTTGGATTCCTTTTTCATTTTGCTTTTCCAGTTGGGTGTTTTTTGCTTCTTCATATTTCAAATCTTTGACTTGATTCTTGCGCTCCTCTGGTCTGCTGTTGGGAGTCTGTATAATATTCTTTATTTCAGTCAGTATATGCTTAATTTCTAGTTGGTCCTTTATCACAACCTCGAGGGTCTCATTAGATTTCTTGTAGATCTCATTAAGTTTATCGGCAGTTTCTAGAGAATTCTTGAAAAACCTTAAAAGTGTGGTTTTGAACTCTATATCTAGGAGTTTGCCTTCCTCCATTTCTGTCATTTGTGTCCTTTTTCTTTGTCTCCGCATTTTTTATGCTTCCCTGTGTTGATAAAGTGGTTTTCTGTGCTAAGTGTCCTGTAGGGCCCAGTGGTTCAGCCTCCCCAATTACCTGAGGAGGACACTCTTGGTGTACCC